AAGAAATAGAAGTGCCTGAACATGGGAAAAGCCATTAAAAGTTCATCATTGTGCTTTCAACACCAAAGTCACGAATGACCTTCGGGCCGATTTGGTTACGGGCAGAGGAACGACAGGGGTGACCAGCTAGTGAAGTTTTGCTGAGGGGAACAAGTTATTATTATGAGCACCTTTTTCAGAAAAACCAACATGGAAAGGCCCCTTTGAGGTCCGCACGTCAAGAATGAGGTCAATTTCATCCTTAGTAACATGAAAACGGCAGTTCAGTACGTCGCGGGGTTCGACAGGCTTAATGCAAGAAGCGACCACATGCCTGTCATATCCGTGGATTCAGTTTTAGAAAGACGCAAGTTGCTTAAGAGGAAGCATAATTTGCTCGACTTGGAAGCACCAGTTAAACACTTTCCGTTGATCCAGCTCGAAATTTAACGCCCGATTCGATGCTCTTCATGGAATGCAGAAAGAATGCGAAAAATGAGAGGCAAGAGAAGCGGTGTACATTAACGAGATGCATCAGGATATAATGAAGACAGTTACAGAAATAGCGGAGACATCTCCAAAACTTTGTTGATTTACTTTGTTGATTCACTTGCGGTGTGAGTATTATTATTAATTAAGGGTATTATTTAAGTCACTTGCGGTTTACCGACGATAATTTGAGCCTCTCTAGATCACTGGAAGACCTCCAGGAAAGAATGTAAGAAATGAACGACGCAAGCTTCGTTGCAAAATTGAAGCACTTTTAAAAGAATGATGACGTTTTTATCCAAGAAACTGCCTTTTTGTATGCAGAAGGTATTCTATCAGTGTGCTGTCGCACTGCTAGCGTATTGAGGCGAAACATGGACTTTATGGTTGAATGCTATTCACAACTGCAGACTACGCACTACAGTATGAAAAGGTGCATATTGGAAATAACAAAAAGAAATGGGAGCACGAATGAGTGGATTAGAGGACAAATAGCAGTCTACGATGTCATTGAACGAGCGAACACTTTGCAAGGTGATCCGACAACTGCTGTCCGAGAGAGACATTAGATTGAGTTCTAATAAAGAGTAAACGGCCCCGTAGATTCCAGATCGATGACAGGATGAGCTGGGGAATTTCGTTGGATAGAGGTTGATAAAAATTGCTAAAAGCAAGACTTTGTGTGAAGTCTTTGAGATGCATTCATTCAGCAGTTGATCAAGGTAGCTGACGATAGTGATTGCAGACGCATCTGGATAACATTTTTTATAGATGCAGCTGTTGAAATTATACTATTATATCGAAATATACGATGCAAATTCAGTTGCTTTGTTGTTATTTATCACATCACAGCTCCTTATGTTTCAGAAGGTTTCTTGAGCGGGCCGCAGTGATTCAGTGATAAGAGGTCGGCTTCCTCCGGGGAAGCTGAGTTTAAATCTCGAAAATGATCTGATTCCCATGGTCTTGGAATTTATCCTAGTGTGCTGTAACGGAGCCAGCCGCGAACGGGTAGAAAGCGGAAAACAAACAACAGTAAAAGAACATGGTGATGTGGCGTGATCCTGCAAGATTGGCTGAGAGATGCGGTAATGTTCGGGGGTTGCGAACGAGGGTTTCTCAGGGTTGCGTTTCACCTAGACTCACCTGATCGCTGATTATTCAACGTGATAATCAGCATAATGTGCAACCCCTGTTGTTTTAATTATTATTTGGATTGCGGAAGATCTACAGAAATTTTTCCTATTTTCTTTTCCGAGCCTGAAGTATGAAAAACAGTATCATTCAGCAGTGAACCGAATAAGACTGAGGAGGATGACATTAAAGTACATCGTTCTATGGAAACAACTTCTGTAGGATTTTTTATCATGATGCCATTTGACTGAGTGTCGCGTGCTACAAACCTGACCCGATGAATTCGACTGTTCTCTGAATGACGACCCATAAGTACGGCGACTGTAAGGTTCGAAAAACGTCTAATATATTACATCAGAAATTGGAAAGAACTTTTCGCATTTTTTGGATGGGGAACACACGGAATCCTGCAAAA